CCTTAACTTTGGCAAGTGCGTACATCATCGCAAGTAATTCCTTCTTGCAGACTAGGTAGCTCCTCTCCGAAGCCTAAAGCTGGCGAGATTCGAACGCGATCACCCGATCTTGCCTCTCGGCGTCAGCTTGCAAGAGTGCACAGCCGATGGCAAAGTCCGAAGTGTCACAAACGACACTAAAGGACGATCGGGGTCTGGCAACGTCAGTATTGATGCATGAAGGAGGCTGTCTTTGACCCTGTCAAAAGCCTCCCGATGTTTGGTGAACCAACACCATTCTGCATCCAGTTTAAGGAAATTCGACAATGGCTGTGCCATTTCCGCATGATTTGTGCTATACTTGTGAAAGTAGTTGGCGAGGCCAAGCCACTTGCGCAATTTCTTTTGGTTCTTGGAGCCGGCCAGCCCACAGTGGCCTTGACCTTAGCCGGATCCGCTCGAAGGCCACGCTTCCCAATGAAGCACCCTAAAAGGGAATTTTCTTCGCGCCGAAGATGCACTTATCGGCAACAGCATACGACTTATTCGTGCGCATACGCTTGAGCACCGATCTTGAATGGACGAGGTGAGTTCCTCATCTGTCCTCTCCTGCCCCGCATGACTGTACGACTGTGGACGAAGATTTCGTCGAAGTAAGTCTGTGCATACGCCAGATGGGGTCCAAACAACTGGGTCACAGGACGATTATTTGTTGCTGTTGCATTTGACAGCCCTTGGGGCATCATCTGCCATGCCGCTCGCGAGTACTAACCGCTGTCAGTAGAATATCACGCTCTAATGAGCATTTGGTAATAACCATCGACCAAGTCGAGTGCTGAACTTTGTAGAACCAACCATGTTGTTCTGAAAGACATCCGTTTTGGTATTCGACGTCTGTGCCGGAATAATGAGCGTGAGAGATACGCAACTTGCCGTTCAGCATCCGGACACAAAACGTGGCTGTCGAATGGGAGACTTGCTCTCACGCACCATTTCTGCGTCGTGCTTCGCACAGGAAAAGACGTCAATGACGTCACACTGCTCTTTGAACAGAGTCCATCGGCGTGTTACGCAGTTTCTGTTTCCCAGAACCAGGTCAATCTCATGACGCACACCTCGGTCCGGAGGTTGGACTGACGGCGGGTCTTTGAAGACGACGTCTTGGAATTCTTTTACCAAAGAATAGTACGGATCCAAGGGATCTTTTAGGGCCGACGATCCGCTTCGTGCGTTCAGCACCCTCTTGGTGTCCTTCAGGACAGCTTCATCCAGAAGCGTCGACGAATCAATCTCCTCGTTCGGTCTCACTATGACCACCTCGGCTTAATTACCTGCCTTCAGGGCACCGCCAAACTTTTTCGAAGGACATCTCGTCCAGCCCAAGAAGAGCATCCACCGCGGAGATAGGCTCGAGGGTGATGTCACCGTCTTCCTCTCCCGTCATAGAGTATATAGCTGTGCGCTATCGTCGAGGGTAAACACACTCTGGGTCAGGATCAACACCCAGCGTCTTGCAATTATCATACGGCTTTGCCGTCTCTTCTCTCTAGAGGTTTTACGTCTCATCAAGACCAGTGGGAACACGCACTTGGCGTCGTCCAGTGTTCCCACACCATCAAGGCCTTGATGTTACGAAAAACATCCGACGAAGAGCTGCTATTTCTGCAGTCTTCGTCCAGCTGAAAACGTGCAACTCCACGCGCATCAGAAGAGCCTCACCCTTGATGCCTCGGAGCTGGTCCGACCATGCCATTCTTGGCACGCAGCAACTGCTTCGTAACGTGAGAAGTGCCCAGTGGGTGATGTTCCACTCCACGTTCACCCCGCAAGCCACGCTCATAACTCTTATCCAATATTTGACAACTCGGGTACTCCGATATCCCGTACATTTACCGTTTCGGTCCTGTCCCCGCGCCAATAGCGCTCCTGTTTTCTAGCAGAGGTGGGTTCATGACTCACCAAATCTCCACCAGGAGACTTGCGCGTAGTGCCCAAGGTCTTCGACCTCCAATCAATCCATGGCTCATGGTGTTCCAACCATACCATATCATGGATAAGGTCATACCTTGAATGCAAGTTCAACACTAAGCAGCATTCAACGCTTTCAAAGAAAAAAACTTGACACCGAGGTCCACAGGGACCCTCGGTTCAGTGACACAAGTCCCATCGCTAAGCGAACAGCGACAGTATCACTCAACCGCGCTTCCAGCGCCTTAGCATACAGCCGACTTCCTTCGATCGTGGAGTGTCAAGCATAATTGCCCAACGCAGCAGATACGATAAAGATCTTTCATGGCTTCTCAAAGCCTTTCACGGTCGCTTTTACGACCAGCAAGCCCGGCTTGCACACACGTTCCGTTTTCAAGAGCACGGAGCTCTTCGGGGCTGGGTCCTGCTGCTCTCTACCTCTTTGAGGCTCAACAGAACTCATGCTCTCCCCAAGTAGGGCGCCCCGCGCCTACTGGGCTTTCTCGTTTTCCCGCGACAAACCAGGCTGATCAGAAGCGGAACGTCGGATTGTCGAGCCATAATGCGCCGTGCGCAAGGGACAACCCGTCCGAAGGTGACGGATGTCTCCACAAACAAAACTTCATCGAGTGTTTACACGCTGCTCAGCAGCTCGGAGCTCTCCCTCCTCCTTCTCAGCATAGCTGACATCCATTGGCTCAGGCCTGCTCGACGAGCTTTGAGGGTGTGCATTCCAACAAAGTCGTGCCGACTTGAAGTTGAGTTCGGCATTCAATGTCACGATCACCACTTCTTCAAAAGAAGACGGATGCACACGGAAGACTTCCATTCTGGCCAAGCCAGTGCGGAGGCTTTCCATAAAGACGGTCCTCGAGGAGAGGATCCGGCAATGAAAGCTCTCAACTCTTGGACAAAGTCCATCAACTCTTTCTTGCTCTGTCGGGCGGCTAGGAACGCGATCGCACGCGATATGCCTAATTAGGCGGAAGAACACTCGCAGAAGCGACGCTTTAGCTCTTCTGAGGTGGGAAACGCAGATTTAACCGAGTGCCCATTCACGCGCTCGCCCCCCGAGCAGGCTTGGAGTTAGCCTGCACCACGCGCTGTTGCTCGTTCTGAAGCATGGCGGATGCCATATCCATCTCGGCCTCGCTTATGCAGAGCAGTAGATCCTCCTCATCCTTACCCTCGAAGGTCTAATCGCTAACCATGAGTGGCCTGGGTCGGAAGGAATCATCCGTCGTCGACGGTGGAGTCATAGACGCAGTCGACGCTGACAGCTTTTGCTTTAGTGCCCTACCAGATCATTTTTATAACTTGAAAACGCCTCTAGGCACGCGCTTATGACCTCGGGCCCTTGCGAAACGAGGTGATTTACGCCCTCAGGCCCCAGCAGGGGCATCAGCTTATTAAGCCCGTCCTACATGCCCTGGGGCAAATAGGAGTATTGCTCCATTCTCACAGAGGATTAGGCGTAGATTGACTACGAGTGCTACCAAGTACAGCGGGGCTGCTGTAGCTCTTTGCTTAGAGAAAGCTAAGCTAAGGTCACCGAGTTTACGTTCTTTACCAGAACCAGTTCGAGTGTAGCGGATCGCAACCCGCTACCTCCTAAAGTACCCAAAAGTTTAACCAAGGCAAACGCACTCCTCTGTCAGAATTGAAACTGCATTTAATTGTTCTAGTTGCGGCAGAGTCGCCAATATATAAAACCTTAGGTTTCCCTCATTAATATTGTTATACCTAATTAATATAGTAAAACCGAATTAATATGCATTACTACTGGCAATTCTGCCACCTGGTGGCTTCTTTTTCCGGTGTAGCTACACCACACTTACTTGTGTAATATGTAAATGACTCGCCCTCGTACGTCTAACCCCGTTACAAAGGGTGTGTGAACCACACCCTTTGTTCCAGCCAGTGGTTTTACATTTAACTACGTTTTGCTCTATAGATCGAGAAATACTGTTCTAATTTGAAACGGAAATTAATAAGCCTTGGTTCAGGTTGTAGTTACTCTTGGGTAAGTGGATTGCGATTCGCTACACTCGTACTGGTTGTTAGTTTTAAACGAAGGTCATCTCCCTTAATCAAGCTTCCTCTAAATGACAGCCCCGGCTGCAGAAGTCTCAGATCGAGCATTTTACATGGCGATGTCTCAATACTATCACGCGATGTTAAAACGCTGCATTCGGTGGAAGAAACATCTTCTCCATCGATTCTTAGAGGAACTTTCAAGAGGAAAATAACCAGAATTGCTAATATACCTGTCGTGCAAGTTTAAATGACCATCGATGTGAAATATTATAATGAGTGCTGACTGATGATACACCCAAGCTTAAAGGCGGCTGCTCCTTATCATTATCACCCGTACTTCAGTCGACTATTTGTTATTCAGCACATCGAGAATTGCCTTTTATCCAAGCTAACCACAATAAAGAAATCTGAAATAGAGCTTTCGATACCCCATGTCATGTCGCGGTTGCCTCCGTTTGAGATACTGCAGCTAGGGGGTTGGAAAGTGCAGCAGGAGTATCGTTTACAATTATGTATGGACTGACGTAGCCACGGCAATTCATTGGGCGGTGTGTGTGTGCAGATACTCTGATAATAAACCTCCAGCTCATACCTTTCGGGGACGTTTTTCCGCCAGCACCTACAACCTTTTTGCAAGTCTCAACGTTGCGGCGGCGAGCACGAAAATTAGGCCGGTTGTCCTGTTTTAACTACGCTAGTTCAACTTTAATTACAGGCAATATCAGATGGCAAAGCCACCACATTTGCCGACAAAGCAGTTACAATTTTTGTTATTCTTGTTACCTGATTGTCCCAAGGCCAGTGCAATGTGGCTGAATGTAGGAATATCACTATGAACTTCTGCTGTCAATTAAATTTGTCAAATGACAGAAGTTTTTTTTAATATTAAAAATTATTTATAATCAGCTTTTTATTCGTGAAAGGCGCTGAAGAGCTGAGAGAACCCACGACAATATGAATTATACATCAAGATCGGAAAAGGTCTTGACGGCTTCGATTTATCAATGATGCATGTGTCAACTTATCAAAATTACAACCAGAACATTGTCAAATGTTAAAGATTAAAACTTGCAACGACAGCGTCTTTCGAGAACTTTCTCAACTCGCCTAGCGAAGTCAAAGCTCACACAACGACGGTGCGACCATTTCCTTTGTGAATATGAAAAAAATATACAGCCCTCGAAAATTTGAATTGAAGAGAATTTGCTTTTCTTATCGTCTTTTGTGCATCGCAAGATTGAATGGTCAGCCTAGACTCATCAGAATTAAATCATTTTGAACAATTCTAACTTTGAAATGCAATACTTCAGAATATGTATTTCTAAGAGTTTTGAAAGGTACGTTCTGGAATCTTTTGTCCCCCCATCATTTTGCGCCACTTTCAATTCGGCATTTTCGTCTTTAAAACCTTTTGATTATTTCACTTTTTCTCGCATCATGTCGGTGATCGGCGTGGATTTTGGCAACGTGGACTGCGTAATTGGCCAGGCTAAGCGCGGTGGTATCGATATTATCTTAAATGAGAATTCGAATAGAAAGAACCCCAACATGGTTTGCGTGCAGGGCAAACAGCGCTTTATCGGCGAGGCGGCCATTAGTATGGCACGCATGCACTACAAGAACACGGCCACGGACTTAAAGCGCCTTATCGGCCGTAAATTTAAGCACCCTGAGGTTCAGAAAGAGATTGCGCAATTAGCGTACACGTGCGTGGAACTTGCGAGTGGTGACGTGGGCATTGTGCTCAACTATAACGACGAGCCCGTCACTTTTTCGTGCGAGCAAGTCGTAGCTATGATCCTTAACAAGATGCAGAACATTGCGTCCGCCGCAAATGAGGGCGTTAATCCCGCGTACTGTGTGCTCTCGTGTCCAGGCTTCTATACGGACGTGCAGCGTCGTGCTCTGCTTAATGCCACAAAGATCGCTGGTCTGAATTGTCTGCGTCTCATTAACGAGCATACGGCCATTGCACTTGCTTATGGCATTTACAAGTCGGCTCGTAATCTATTTCACGAGTCAGAACCTCAGCATGTCATGTTTATCGACCTGGGTCACGCCAGCTACACAGTGTCTATTGTTGCCTTCGTGCAGGGCCGCCTGACTGTTAAGTCTGCTGCCTTTGACCGCTTCCTCGGTGGTCGTGACTTTGATATGGCCATTGCTAAGGACGTGGCTGCCAAGTTTGCTGAGAAATACAAAACTGATCCACTTGGAAATCCTAAATCGCGCATAAAATTACTTTCTGCATGTGAGAAGGCAAAGAAAAATCTTAGCCCGTATGGTGTTACGGCCACGAATCTCAACATTGAGTGCCTTGCCGATGACCGTGATTACAATGCACAATTGACGCTTGAGGAATTCGAAGAGCTTATCGCCCCACTTTTATTGCGCCTAAATGACCCGGTTGAACGCGCTCTTGCTGATGCTGGCATTGACAAGTCACAGCTTGCGAACGTCGAGATTGTTGGTGGTGGAACCCGCGTGACAAGTGTCAAGCGTCACCTTGCGGAAGTGCTAGGTCTGGACAAGGAGCAACAGAATTTTGGCCTAAGCACGACGTTGAATGCTGACGAGTCGGTAGCACGTGGTTGCGCTTTAAATTGCGCCATATTGTCGCCCATGTTTAAGGTTAAAGAGTTTAGTGTAACAGATTGCGTGCACCTCCCCGTGCGTGTATCGTGGGACGGTAGTGCTGCGGCTGGCACTCCATCTGCTGCTGAAGAGGACGGAGACGTCAACATGGAGACAGAGGATAGTTCGCTTGTGATTTTTAGCCGTAAGGATGAGTATCCAAAGACCAAGCGCATTACGTTCCGTCGTGACAAGCCGTTTTCGATTGACGCTATGTATGATGAGTCAGCTAAGTCGTACCTTCCACCTGACTACGACATGGATATTGGAAAGTACACTATTTCAGGCATGCCTAGTCAGGAAGCCGGCACTGAAATTCCAAAAATACGGGTGAATGTGCAACAGGATATGAATGGCCTCTTCTCAGTGTCTTCGTCGCAATTGATGCAAGAGATACTGGAGGAGGAGAAACCTGCTGTGGCTGATGGTGCGGAGGTGGAAGGTGAAAAGAAAGACGACAAGCCTGTCGAGCCCAAGAAGAAGCGCTTCCGCAAGGTTGAGCTGTCTGTGCATGCCGCAGTTAGTGGTCTGTCTGCTGGTGATGTGGCAGCGGCTACAGAGCAGGAATTGAAAATGGCACAACAAGACCGTGTGATCGAAGAAACGTTTAACAAGCGAAACGAGCTCGAGAGCTTTGTCTATGAAATGCGAAACCAGATCACGGATAAGTTGGCAGGCTTCATCACTAGCGGAGAAAAGAGCAACCTTGAGTCGAAGTTGACGGAAACGGAGGATTGGCTATACACGGACGAAGGTTTTGACAGCACGAAGTCGGTATATCAGCAAAAGCTGGATGACATGCGCAAACTGTCTTCGCCTGTAGAATTTCGTCTGACGGAGAGCACAGAGCGTGGTGTTGCACAGGCTGAGCTTACCGCTGTCTTAGAAGAGTACAAACGGATGGTAAACTCGGGCGACGACGCATACTCTCATTGGACCGAGGAGGAGAAATCAAAGTTGCGACAAGCATGCGCGGACGCCGAGACGTGGCTATTCGACGCTCTATCTAAGCAGACAGATCTTGGTCCAACAGATGCTCCCGCAATCACATCGGCTTCTATTCGCAGTAAGGTTGTGGCTGTGCGTGCCGTGGCTCTTCCAATCACGACCAAGCCGAAGCCGCTTCCAAAGGTTGAGACGCCCGCAGCCCCTGAAGCAGCTGAAGCCACACCTGGTGAAGAAAAGGATGCAGCTGAGAAGATGGACTTGGACTAAGTGAATTAGGCAGTTTGTGTTTGACGCGTGCTGGGCATCTGTACCAGCAAAAGTAGGCAGCAGGTTTACGGTTAAAGAAACGATACAAAAGTATATCATTGCCGAGTCCTATTTCCTTTACGTACTAGTAATCATGGAGCTTTTCGTTAAGTACGAATTTAAAGCTCCATTCATACAGCAGGATCAAAGCTCACTTTAAACATCATGACCAGGTATGTACGCAGTTCTGTTGTCAAGTATTTAATGCTGCCGGCCTTTCGTAAGTAACTCACGCATGATATTTCACTCTATGTAATGATCATAGCACTGGAGAGGGTGAATTTAAGCGAGTGCAGGAGAACGAAGAAGAGTTTCAAAAGGGTCCTCTCTCAGTGCTAATGCATAGCGTCAAAAACAACTCACAGGTCCTCATAAACGTGCGCAACAATCATAAATTACTAGCACGTGTCAAGGCGTTTGATCGCCACTGCAATATGGTGCTGGAGAATGTCAAGGAGATGTGGACTGAGGTCCCTAAGGCCGGCAAGGGCAAGAAAGCGGCCAAGCCCGTCAACAAAGACCGCTTTGTCAGCAAAATGTTTTTGCGCGGAGACTCAGTCATTATTGTGCTTCGTAATCCACACGCCTAAAAATTATCACAGCATATTTTATAGCTGAAATCTTGTCGGAATAGACTCCCAACATTTTGCCTTCTAATTGAATGTGCTCTCTGCCTTTCATCTTCCTCTCCCGACCGTTGCTTGTCATTCTGTTGCTCACATCAATTATGTCGACGTTGCCAAAGCTGCCATTGGAGTTGCTTGAGCTGAATATATGTCAGTATCTGGACGTGAAGGCCATTTTACAGCTCGGTCTCGTTAATCGTACCTTTCAAGATAATATCACACAGTGTTCAAAGCTTTGGAAAACATTAATGATTTACCATTTCGGCTACATGAGTAAGTCACAATTACCTCAGGTAGAAAAAAGTATAGATGACGACAACAAAACAAGTGAGATCAGATGGAGAACAGTGTTTGCTGTGGCTTGGCAAGATTCGATCGCGCTAACTCAAAGTACACTTCGTGAAATCGATGTGCTGCGATTGTACCGTAAACAAGCTTGTAACAATGTGTCACTACTGCTTCAACCTAAAGAGGCTTGGATTCGACAGGAAGTTATACTTATGGAAGGACTACGACGAATTCCAAAAAGTAAAAAACTGATCCAGCTGTACGCTGAAGTAATTCGACAGGCTCAGCTCGTTGCTCGTATCGGTGGTGCTGGCACTGAATGGACTTTGCACGGAAAATTTGTATAAAAGCTCGTCCGGTCATTTGTAATCTCTTACGGAGAGACTAACCTTTGTCAGATAAAATAATTTGGCTTGCTGGACACAGCTGTCATCAGCCTCAGGCAAGACTGGGATCTCTTGTCATGATGCAGTTTAATCAAAGCAATTGTTAAACTTAAAATTAAACAAGCTTTCGCTTTTGCTGCTCGTCATTATCACCCTGCATCTGGTTCTTGCACATATCTATTTTCATTTTCACCGTCGCCAAAAGCAGCATTTGTCTTCCACCCTTACAATCCATTTGCAATCCCTAAGGAATATTCTGTCTCATTTTCATCAACAAAAAGCGAGGCATCATCGAATGTGCTGGAACGACCTCCTCAATATTTGACGATTCTAGCAGTCAGATATCGATAAATGACACGACACTCAATGACATTTGACCACCAAACGCTTCGTTCACCCAGTGAAAGAACACCAGTTTCAGGTCTCTCTGTATCGTCAATGGTGGTCAACGATCTAATAATTAAGACACGTATCGTTGTAAGCATCCGTGTTCTAAAAATGGTGTTGCGGGAAAGAGTCTTATGGATATGACAAAGTGCATCTAACAACATTAACTCATCAAACGTTATTTTTTTTTATAAACTCGGCCCAGACGTAGTAGCACCGTGGGAAGCACGAAAATTGACGACGTATTATTCAAATCATTAAGAACTGACTTAACGAGTGTGAATGCTGCTTGCATTAGAGATGCATCGATGATTGAGTACAATGCAGCGATGTTTCTATCTGATGCGTATTGAAACTACTACATGCTCGTCAAAGAAAAACTTATCAAATTGAAAGTTCCCAAAACTATATTTGAAGCGCTCTTTGTGAAATGATGAGCTTCATTGGTGATGATTAATTAGTCGAAGAGAAACCTGGACTACCAACAAGATTCCCACGATACATAGTATCTGATTTTGGCTTCCTCAATCTGAGTACAATCGGTGAATGTATTGCATCCGTATCATCAACGAATCTATCTATCACGTATTTTTGACGCATATCTTAACGAATTTATTGCTCTGTCATCATAGAAGTCGTACGCAGAATAATAGTCAAAATTGTCATGAGCGGATCATTAGGCAGGTCGTGCATCTAATTCTCAAATATCTAGTTTTCAGCCTTAGGTCTCACTCCATTTTAAGCTTGCGGCAAGATTTTAGTAGTCTGGACATTATCGAAGAGGGAGTGACCAGCCAGCACTTTCAAAACTTCAAAATATTGGTATATAAAGAAGCTCAATGCAATAGATCAGCCACTTTCCTTTTACTTTCACATAGACTTCTTATCGTCATGGTCGAGCAATTATTCATTTGCATCTTTCTCAGGTTGCGCAACCAAATTCTAGGAACGGCTTGTACAGGGAGACGTGCGAGATGAGCTTTTTGAAATCTTATCAGCTATGGTAGTCTTGATGCTCTATTGACCGATGTAAATGCACGAGCAAATTGTTGCTCTCTTTCGACCGATTATATTTCGACTTGAAATACCTGTGCGCCTCTCAAACCACAGAAGATGGTGTAAGAAGTGACTTGCACTGCCCTTGTTGTCTTGGTGAGTTTGACAGCTTGATGTTTTGCTTCAACTTGGTTGTATCTACGAGTTCTGCGACACCATCACTGTTACTGCTACTTGTACTAGTGCTGTGTTGGTCGATAAGAGCGTTCTCATCGACAGGTGCCGTGCTTGATACATTTTGAATAGAAGCGCTGCCGATGTCATACGCATCTGATGCTGGTAAACCAGCATCAGATGAAACCTCAGCAACGTGTAAAGGTGTCTGCCCAATCTCAATAGTTACTTCGGCTTTAGCACTTCGTTCGTGCATTGACGACGCTAGTTTTAAGAAATCGGCTTCGATAGATTGCGTTGTTAACGATGTCGCATTCTCGGAAAGTAATATTTCAGGGGATGTGTTAGCATCTAAAAGAGTTTCTGAAGCTCGTGCTTCGTGTGCAGGACATGCATTCGAAACTACCGGAGACGATAGCAATTGAACAACATATCCCTTCGACTCTTCTTTTGAGGCCATTATAGGCGAACTTGCCAAATTTGCTGGGGCAGGTGGTGCTGCTACTGATGATGTAGCAGCAGCCGAGGCAGACGGGGCTGGTGCAGGTTGCGCGCAAGCTCTGCCTGAAAACGAAGCTGAAGATAATTTCGTCCTCGAAACGCCTAAGGCTCTGTCTGAACCAATACTCGCAGAATTTAATGCAGGTATTACTGGATCAGAAATGCGAGCATCTGGGTGAAATGCACATACGTCTTCGAAAATTAGCTCTTGCAACTTTTGCTTTGTCAAATCCGTATTCTCAAAGGCAAAGTCAAAAGGTGTAGGACACGTCTTCTCCACAGTTCGATCACGCACAAGGTTCAAGTATGGATGTGCCAGGGCTTCTTGAATTGTAATTCGTTTGCGTGGATCAAAGACTAGCATTTTCTCGAGCAGATCAAGACACTGTGGCGTAGCACGCGGATACACGGACGACAAGGGAACCTTTGGCTTCTTTGGCTGACGCAAAATAAATCGCTTTGCCTTCGGATTTGTTATAAAGTCTAGCGAGTCTTCAGACGGAGATCCTACAACTTCCATGATGATCTTTAATTGATGCAGGTAGTCGTGTCCAGGAAAAAGAGGACGCCGTCCTAGCATCTCTGCCAGAATGCATCCAATAGCCCACACGTCCATTTGTTTATCGTATTTAGACGAGAGCAGCAATTCTGGGGCGCGATACCACCGTGTAACGACGTACTCGGTGAGACCCGAGTCTAAACCCTGGATACCTCTAGCAAGGCCAAAGTCACACAGCTTTAAATCGCAATCCGAATTCACCAAAATATTGGATGGCTTTAAATCACGATGCAGTACCTCAGCAGAGTGCACATAATTAATCGCAACCAACATTTGGTAAAGAAAATATTGTACATGGTCATCACTAATTGACTGATTTGAGTGAATAACCCGGTGCAAATCAGTCTCCATGAGATCTGTAACAATGTAGACATCGTTAAATTCTTGTAATGTTGGCGGGCGCAACAGGTCAAGTAGATTCACCAAGTTGGGGTGGTTGAGGTGGCGCATGAGACGAATTTCACGAAGGATACGCTTGGCATCTATCAGGTCATTGAAAGCATTAGGAATGTTTTTAATGGCAAGTGCTTGGCCTGTCTCTGTGTCACTAGCAGCAATAACACAGCCGTATGCACCTTGGCCCACAGCCTTAATCATCTGATAGCGTTTCGGAACGTCAAAGTTGGTATTTCCAACCCGAAAATGGTGGTTATCGCGTTTCGTATCGCGAAAAGAGCAGCCACGAGCGAGCGCTACACGGTGACTCATCGACTGGACGACCGCCCCGGAAGGACGAACCTGCGGCGTTAGGGCATTTGAGTCCAAGCTGGACAAAGTGTCATCAAGTCCATTTCGCGATGAAGTTGCACGAGACATCGCAGCAAACGAAGACATTGAGGCTTCAAAACTAATACTAAGTTGTACTCTTCCACACGTGAATTTCGTCTCGCTTGCAGACAGCAACGTGTACCACTGCGGGACCGCACCACGGGCAATATCTGAATGAATAACACTCTCCCGTACCGTTCGTGACGTACTTGCCAGCGCTAAGAATGGCGCAAGATTTACTTTGGCAACACCAATCACACGTTCCGAAGCTATTCCACCATCGTTGTGCGCCACTTCCCATGCTTCTATCAAGACGAAACACGGCTTACCACGCGATGAGCCTGGAAATGGGATCTCCAATTTAGAGTTCCATTTCGGATTTCGAGATTCTTCTGGATCGCACGTCCGCGTCCGAGCAACGCAATTTGCCGACGAAGTCGGAGCATAAACGTTAGTCTTTCCGTCAGTAACTAGACGAAGTCCCAGATACACACGGCGATCTGACGGCTGGTTTTCGTCGACAGTCTTTGAGTTTTGGGCTTCTTCGTCATCAATTAAGCCTTTGTCTGAAATCTGTTCACCGCGATAAACAACGACGTGCAGCTTTCCAGCTGGATTATCATGTACTGAGTTACCAACGATCGCTGCCATGGGCAGCGATAGGCTTGATGTGGCGCTACATCCAAAGACAGCGGAGGCGGCGATAGGATCTGCCGAAATTGTGAGACTCTTGACGCGTCCATCAGGGGCAAATTCGATCGTATGCTGCCATTGTTGTGTAAACTTGCGTCCATTCTCACGATTCTTCATCGTTTCTCGTCCAGCAACTACAGCAGTACATCCTTCTTTGGCCTGCGCTATATCAGTGACGAAAAAAGCGGTAATCTCTACAGTTTCGTACAAAATGGAAAAGAAATGGAGAACGCCATCGAGACCGTGATATTCACCCCAAAATGGCACAGTAGGCGCATAGTTTGATGTAAGGCAAACGTCACGCGAGAGCTTGGGAAAGAATTGCGGTGAAGACGAGTGTGATATGAGTAATTGACGAAAAGCGAAGTAAAAGCCGCGGAGATCTACTTGCGTAGGTGATATCTGTAGTATTTCCATTCCTTCGACTGATAATCGGCTATTTCTTTGTCTAGCCCCTTCTTCGACCGCTGCATGCATCATTTCGACCCACATGTCTTTCTCCAACTCCGTAGCGCAACAAAGATGAAATTGCTTGTGGCTCTGTGTTTCGAGAAGAAAACCATGCGCCTTACCATAATTCTCAGGTCGTACTTTATATACAGTCATGCGACCGCGCATGTTGCGAGCACTTCGAGCCTCTTCTTTTGAGTTGTAGTATGTTAGCGTAGCCCCGTCCAGAATGAGATAACGCTCCTCCCAACGTGGTAACCAGTCCCCTTTCTTGCGCACATACCCTTCCCAATGAACTTCATGCGTCATGAAGGCGGTTGTAGAGGCCACTGATGAGTTCATAGCTAGGTCGTCCATGTTGTTGATCATATTATTGATATAAGTGTTGTTGCTCACACTGGCACCATTGCTGCTACTTGTTGGCGCTACTGTGTCGTCACCGCCAATCGAGAGTGTGCCAAGCAGAAGATCGCGTTCCTGTGCTGTAATCTCAGCTGCAGGAGGCTCCATCGCACAAGAGTGAATGTCGTTCAGCTCGTTCACGTCGCTCACCGCTTACGCTTCTGTGACGGACTGAATCGAAGTCTGTTCTTTTGCTACCGTAAATAGATACGACGATACAATTTTTCGACAGAAATACTCTAAGTGACAGATAGTAAAATCTGGGGCTAGGACAAAAATGGGTGGGACTAGATCTGGTGAAACATGCGATTACCCAATTAATACGAGCTGCTTTCCAATGTCGACACAAAATGATCACTGTCGACTAAATGACGGCTACAATTACGAATATTCTGCGTTTGGAACCCGGGCTATTTAATATGCTCGGAATGAGTGTGCCTGGGATGTGGGGTAATGACGAGGCTAACTTCGCAATGCTGAATGCAGAATAATGAAGAACGGTCATCCCACCAAAAATGCGAATACTATAAAGAAGTATCCCAGTTCTCATGTTTTTGTGACACTCAAGTAGGACAAGTTGTGTTAGCCGCAACATCAACCGTGATGTATCGAGATTTGGTTATCATTAGTATTGGCGATAACTTGACCTCAATTCGCTCAAAATCGGCATGGACCCGATGGTCTACTCTACAAGCTAGCAGGATTCCGTGATCAACAAATGAAATATGTCGTGAATTTGAACATCGACAGAACGGACATTGTGGAATGAAGTGAAGAACACAAGCGCCCGTCAGTCGAGTGCATGACTCTTCAAAGTGCTAGGCACCAAGTTAGCTATGTCGACAGCAGATCATCCGCAGACCGATTGGTAAACCGAAAGGGTGAATCGTGTCATCGAAGACGTTCTTCGCAGCGTCTGCGCTGAGACGCCGAGGCAACATGGCGCTCCATGTTGCCACTCGCAGAGTTTGCACTGAACAATGCAGTGCATTCGTCTACCGGCTACACGTCGTTCTACATGAACGGGCTGATTCACCTTCGCGTCCCGCTGACGCCGCCATCACTTGGCTCAGGGTTTGGTAGGGGGGATAGCCGAACAGCTAGCTGATGTCAGCCCCCTCACCATCCGCAAAGAAGTCGATGACT